TCGCTCTCAATGCCCCAAACCCTGGTATACGATTTCAAAGCAAGGCTGGATTATCACCACTTTTGAGAGTGAAAAATGTCGGTAATGCCCAGCAGCCTGGTCTTTTGTTACAGGGCCCTGTTTCCTTTGTCCGAGTTCGAGACCCCGGCCACCCATATAAACCATACATCTCCGATCCCGGAGTGGTTATCTTTATAACCAGAGGCTTACACTGTACATGTACTGTATGTGCCAACATGGCTCAGAATTTGTTTCACATGTAGCTTTTTTCACAAAAAAAGTAAGCTCTTTGATGTCAGGAGCTTGGCATGATTTCCAGCCTATTTCAGTTTGGTTTCGTCAGTAGACCTACATGTAATTGAACAAAATTGACAATTTCACATGTTTTATGTAATATCTTCTTGAAAAATGGAATTTCTCTCATCTTCTTTTGAAATAAAGATCATTTGCAAACTTCTAAATTGAACACAGGCAGAAATAAAGATTGGAAACTAGCTTAGTTTTTACTGTTTTTGTGGTTTTTCCCCCCAAGGAAGAAACCTCAACATTTACAATTATGCTGTGTTAAAGTACAGAGCTACCAGGTATTAGAAAATATTCATATTTTGCATAAGCTACTAACCCTAACCTTTCTACCAGTAGGTCCCTCAATATCTCCCAAGATATTTTGTAGGATTTTGTAGCGTTGAGGAACCACCACTTGTTACAATGTATAATTTACACAGGGCTTGATGTCCTTTGAAAGTTTTGAAGTTGAAAGAAGGTGCAGTTGGCTTGCTACACTCTGAAAGATGCAGAAAGGCCACTACCAGGACTGCTAAGCAATTTAGGGTTTAGGGTTAAGCAAGTATAAAAAAAAACAACCTCCATCAGCTTTATCTCTAGTAACTTGAATACACGTACGGTACCACAGAAATAAACAAACAGACGATTGGGCACAATCACAGGACTGACCTACAGTAATCTAGTAATACTATTTAAAGCCATTATCTGATTTTTATTTCCAAAAATAAATGTAAATGCTATTGTTGGAGTGTAAATCTGCAGTTCAAACCTATTCCAAAAGGGGCAAAGAGTACATACATGTAAGAACAAATACATGTACATGTACACGTATGGTGTCTTCAACAAGTCCACCTTGCAGAGTTCTACAAAGTGCTCAACCAGTATCTAGGACTGAGTATACTACGTGTGTGTTGTACACTGACTAAAGTGATTTCAGCAGTGTACCCGTACATACACGTACATGTACAGTTTTCGACCGGTTTTTAAAAAGACAATCCACAAAACATGTAAGCTTATCACATTACAAGTTTATAAATTAAACTTACATACATGTACACTTGTAACTTAACAACATGTACATGTACATGTGCCACCTGGAATTTCAAGTAAATTATGCACTGCTTGCTCATAAATGTATCCATACGTATACACGTATTATACAGTACACTATACATGTACATGCGGTACATGTACAGTACACATGTGTACACATTCCATGCCTACAACAGTCCTATTACTGTACATGGTCAAGAATACAAGTAAAGCACACGTTATAAGGTGGGTGTTTCCAGTACATTAACCCTAACACTCCTCAGTACTCCAACAGGTGAAGGATTGAGGAGGGTTAGGGTTAAGACAATACACTCTGTGCAACACAACCACTGGAGTCTGCAGACCTCCTTTGCTGAACAAATACGTGTAGTCACCCCACACAGTGTACAAATGTATGTATGTCCACTGATCTGAGTAGAGCACAAGATTTTAGCTGCACACTGGTACATGTACAATGTATCCGTATGTGTGTAGCCTGCCACAGATTGGGGACCTGAACATTGTAAGAGCTGATGAGAGACAGCAGCTGCTTTGAGAATGGTTTGAGCAGCAGCTTCATGGTAATCCACCTGCATTCTTCCAAGAAGACTGTGCACGCTACAAGTGCATGTAAATCAACTGGATTCTGAAATTACATCAGAGACATCTACATGTATATGTACATGTACAGTATGTCCATGTTTATGTACACGTTAAGAGTTGTGTTCACCATATTCATGTCTACAGTTTCCCCAGAAATGTCTCTGGCACATTAAACCCCATTTCCTTGGCCCGGTTAAGGTCTGCATGGAATGCTACACCAACTCCGCCAATGCTGGTCTCCCACAGGTCGTATCCCACAGCTGCTACCTCTTCTCTGACGTGCATCACCGTGTCTGCCGCCGTGTCTGGCCTGAGGAGTGTCAGCGCACACCCACCACCGCCCGCACCTGTCAGCTTGGAGTGGAGGCCAAACTTGGCAGTCAGGGAACAAAGGGCCTCAAGGGAAGGATGTGAAACTCCCAAGATCTCCAGAAACTTCTGATTCATGTCGATCAAATCTTCCAGCTGACCATACAGAGAGGTTGTTTGGTCGGCTTGGACCTCAGTCCCTCCTACTGTTGGGGCTACCTGGTCAGCTGGCTGCTTTGCTGAATCTGATTGGTTGCTTACTACTGTGGGATTGGACCCTCTTTCCTTTTCTGGACCAATCATGAATTCTTCGAACAGGGATTGGCACATCTGAGAAATCCCCTCAATCGACTCCAACACTGGCCCAATGACCTCTGGGAATTTCTCATATTTCTTGCGTACACCTGCAACCAGAACCTTGGTGCTACGTGGTATCTTTGTGTTGATGAGAAGAATGCGCAGGTTGGGAACTTTAGAAAGGGGCTGGATGGCCTTCCCTTGGTAACGCAGAGCACCACCATACGTACTGACAGCATTATCAATCCCAGAGGGATTACCATGAATTATCCTTTCAGCTTCAAAAGCCCAACAATTGATTACATCTAAATCATCCTTATTCCATGATCGCTGGTTGAGTCCATTTTCATCCACAGGCGAGGTTATCCCAGCTTGAAGCAAGAAGGCAGCAGACAAGCACACAGAGAATGCAGCTGAAGATCCCAATCCCGCTCCAGTTGGGAGCTCGGAGGTCACACTAACCTCCAGGGAGGGAAAAGCAGATGCTTTACCTGACCCGAGGACAGACAAGTACAGATACAAGACTGCCAACACTGCAAGATCCCTGGTGCTCCCGTCTTCAGAGACACCAGTGAACTTTTTCATTTTGGCTAACAGCACCGGGGTGGGCGGACCTGCATCACCAGCCTCTCTCTGCCCTAGACACTCAGAAAAAGTCTGAGCCAGTTCTTCGGTGTTCCATTCCCATTCCAGACCGATGTCCAGCAGTTTGAAGGAGGCAGTGGATGCTTGAACAGTGGGACGCAGCTGTAGGAATGTCCGTAGGTTCAGGCTCGATGCCAGGGCTGTCTTCCCGTAGACGACTGCGTGTTCTCCATGAAGTATCACCTTCCCTGGTGCAGACACATTGAAGTCTCTCTTCACTGTTGTATCCATTGCTTTCTTCATTGCCTTGCTGGTGGCTAGTTGCTCAAATGAACTGGCGTTGGGAAAGTAAACGATAGGAGTAAGGCTGGAATGACCTACATGAAAGTACCGGTTGCCTAGAGCATGTGCATGCACATGTACGATACTATGTATAGACATACGTGTACATGTACCTCTTTTGCAAAGTGTACAAGAAAGGTTACAAGTCTGGTGTGTGTACGTGTAGGTACAGAATTTGCACATTAGCACAGTACTGTTTGCACTGAAATGAACATGTACATGTACACGTGTACACGAATGCCAAAAACTAATCAGACTCCGAATCTACACAGAACAAAGTCTGCACACCGACAAGCACAGTTGGACAAGTAGAGTACTTGTAACTCGTAGGATTGGAGTGATGTTCAAACAAGGCATGATGATACCGTATGATTTTACACAGTTTTGGCAGAGCAAAGAGGCCACTTTTTGGTCTGCTTACTGAACACAAAGATTTCTAAGCTGCAAAGGGACACCATGCCACGTTTCTTGTCTGCTCTAATACACAAAATAACAGTACAGCATGCTGAATATTCTTACAAATTCATGTACAAGCCTGTACATGTGCGTGCCCTGTTAAACGTCGTGAAGGGCCCATGGCAAAAAAGGCTTGTTTACTGTGGGGTTCCTCGGAGTGAGGCAGACGTCGGACCCCCCCCCAGTACTGGGGATAACTCTGTGTGTCAAACAGTGTTACAAAATTTAAGGGTTACAATGTATTAGGCCTACTTGTAGGCCTAAAATGTCACCATTTTCACAAAAAGTTCTGTGACCATGTTGACATTGACACAGTATGCATTTTTATGTTATTCAAATATTTGTTTCACTAGTTCCCTGTTCGTCTATATATTATGCAAGCACAGACTCTCAATGTGATAGGAACCAGTTTTGTATAGTACAACCTACATATGTACATGTAGGCTTACACCATTATCAGAGCGCCTGTCAGGTGCCTTGAAATCCGATGCACGAAGTGTTCGGGGGGTGGACATGGGATCCCACAGTTCTGGGGGCAACCCCAGTCATAGTCCAGCTACTACCGGTAGCACTGCATAGGTCTACCCAAGAACGTACTATACATTTCCATAGTGGACCAGAAACTCTACAGTTCTGTACTGCCATCTGGCCATGACTGCATTCGTCCTGCTTCAACCTGGGGCCAATTTCATAGCGCTGCTTAAGTGAAAAATTTGTTTAAGCTTAAAAAAACCTTGTTTGACGAATCAGGGTACTAGTCAAAACTTCTGCTGGCAATCCAAAGCAATAGTGGCCTATGGTATTGGCCACTCCCAGGCTATTGCTTTGGAATGGTATTCAGCCTACCTCAGTCTATTAATTATTACGTTTTGGTTAGCATGACAATCACAAAGAGTTTGAGCTGGTAACCTTTATTTATTAAGCAAGTTTTATTCGTGCTTAAGCAAATTCTGTGATAAGGCAGCTCTACGAAATTTGCCCCTGTCCGAAGCTTTGAATAGCCGTCTCAAGGTCCCCGCCCCTGGAAGCCAGAACGACGAACATGGCGAAGAAAGTCGTGCGTGTGAGACTGTGCCAGGGCCAGGCACGCCAGGTGAACAAAACCGATATTAAACAAGCCATAAAATACGTTTGTCGACATACCTTTTCTCTTTCAAGTGGAAGAACAGTTTGCACTGCTGCAATCTCGAACATAATTTCACTGAATACACAAAATCTGGTACCAGCTTCTTCTATACCTGGTCCTCCCCTCCATCCACCACAGTCGAGTCCACCGACGTTGCGCTATTTAGTATGATAATGATTATAGTCGGCCTGGTGCCAATCGTATACCTTTTATGCACTTTGCGTCTGGGTACCGGACAGACAGGCCACTGCATCAACCTCGTTACAAAAACGTACCCAGGGATTATACTTTAATGACGACGATCTGACTACAACTCTACCTTGCCTGCAGAGTACATTCCACCAAGTTTCAAGTCCCATTGAAAACTGTGTAAGCAGTATTCCGGGCTCAATCGCACCAACATCTGAACATATCTGGGGTTTCTGAGATAAAACTAAATTATTGTTTTGTCCCCAATCTTTCCATCGTTTTTTTCATTTTGAGTGGGTTAACACATTACATCTTTAATTATTCCCACAAAACAAAATCACTCCGGCAAAAGTACCGTCTGAAGTCGCCTGCGCAGCAATTTTTCAAGTGGCATATCCCTCTACTTTCTATCAACCCTATTAATTTTATCCACTCTACTCTCGGATGAAAGCCAAAACAACCAGGAAGTTGATCCTGGCAAAGATCCACACAATCTCACCGTTGCGGGGCAAACAATCTCCGTTTTCAAAGAAGGTAGGGTACTTTTCCAGATAATGAATTGGGTAGGAATTGTAACTTGAATTAGTGGACTGCACCCCGCATCCCCCAGCCAGGCAAATCTGTTTGATCAAAACGATAACTCGCACACAGTACGAATTAAAAAGCTCTCAAATGCAATCAAAACCAACCAAGACATGTATTTTCAAAAAACAAATTTAAGTCCATTCGATCATTTATATATATATAAACGTAACATTTACGAGATACATAATATTATTCAGATATTTTCAAAAGTTAATTTGTGTCGCACAAGATCTATACTCTCCAGCTCGTTCTTATCAGATTAATATTATTTTGGAACATAAACAAAATTGTTTTCACAGCCAAAGGACATGGGCGCCAGTGCCGAGCCATACATACATGCGTTTTTAACACACCCCAGTCTGTTAAAATTTAAATAAAAACTAATCTATTTATTTATGATTTAATCGTTTTAATTCAACTTAACACACTGAAACAATTCAATAACGCTTAGATTTCCCCTTGTTCACCATCAACGCGTGCGCTTGCGTCTTGAAACCCATCTGAGAATTCTTCTCGTTTGAGAATTCTTTTCATTTCCGCGATTAACGTAAAAGGCGTCGTGCTTGGTTGGGTCAAAGGGCGGAAGAGGATCATACACACGGACGCTTTTCCTAAGTGACCCCACCCCCAACCAACAATAACACGGACATGCCTTTCTCGATTTATTCTAATTGAATTGGGTTGCCCAAGCCACATAAACAAAAGGGCTAAGTGATTAAAGCCCTTTGGTACAGTAGTAAATCGCGCGTGTGCTTCATTTTGAAGGTTCCAACTTGGAACCATATCAAAAGAGAGAAAACGGCAAATATTTCGTGCCTTGTTGATGAACTGTATAGGGCTTGGAGGTAGGTCGAGGAGATCTATGAAGCTTTCAAATCACCCATTTCCTGTCTTGCAATTAACACCCTCATGCAACAACCCCTCCCGCCCCGCCATTCAACCCACCATGAACACACCAACTTGGAGAAGGCGAAGAAAGCGGGCATGAAATCCTCACCAATCTCCATGGCCCAAATGACAGCAACCATCTTGCTATAATGCCGACTCGCGTCCTCTCACATTCAAACAGTTGTGATTAGCAAGAACTACCACTCCACTTTTTGGAGGATGGCATGCGTGTATTCCTATATATCCAAAGACAATGTCAATAGCTCATTCTATACTATCCACTCTTGCTCTTCTTTTGGTAAACACTAAAATAAAATTGACCATTGGCATATCTCAACATAAAAGTACGACTGATCATTTTGTGCTTGACAAGTCGATTTATTAACCCCAACCGCAAGATATATTATACAAATATTAGCCTGGAGTACTACCATAAGTACAAAATCAGAAAATTAAAGTTATCTTTCCAACAATGATTGTTCAATCAACAAACGTTAAGATTAAAGCACGCTACACCGAAGCTGAACATTGTTTTGTGCATGTAACTACGCAGTTCCTTGCACAACTCCTTCCCACCAATTTTAAATTTCTTCATGATCGCCAATTTGACATCTGGAAGTACTCCACGTAAAAAGCTCAGATTTAGAAGCATTGTGGGAGAGGTCAACCAACTTGAACACACCACCTTGTCATCGAAATTGGAATCGAAGTGAAATTTCCGCTTCTCTGACGGTACGAAAATAGATATTAAAAGAATATTATAATATATATTATCGAATAAGATATTAAGAGTAACAGTGAATGTGAATTTGGCTGAAACCTTATTTATCGCCTCGTCTGGTACTTTTGGGTAACACGGCATTTTAACCATCACTTGTCTTGCACGAATACAGGGCTTTCTTCAGAGTGATTTTGTGTTTGTATTTATTTTTAGGGAGCAGTGGAGACTCCATGGTAGAATCGTGTGCCCCACTTAATATAGGGCGCTTGAAAGGGTAATATAGATATCTCTAGCCATCACTAGATAAAAACCCGTTGGAAAAAAACAGCAAAGGTAAATTCCAACACGACTAGTCGACCTGAAGAGCGTCCTCCCACTTGCGCTGAACGTACATGTATGTGGATTAAGGCAGTAAACTACCCACAATGCTTTGTCACGCACATGCGTTCTTCATAAATGTGTAATGTTTAAAGGGCGATGGCATTATCTGGAACTTGGTCCATGTGGTATTGTTGCACCTGTCATTATTAGATAACGGGAACCAGAAGGATGTTGAACGACCTCATGAACATGCCCTGGAAATCAAAATCACCTATTTTCATTCAACGTAGTGGAGTGAAACTTGCTATTTATCCCAGAAATAAGTGTGGACTGTTCACATTTTCGTGTAATGATGAGAACATGCCAATATGGTTGAAGAGATTCGGCATGACTAGATACTGTTTCTCCCCCAGGCCCGCAAGAAACCGACTGATCTCAATATCTAGAGGGCGCTGCCTGCGGCACGTGATCCCCTTTAGATGCTCCCGTATGGGCGGTAGCGACTTAGTTCGGTACAAGACAGCGGGTATACAACATTCCGGAGCTCCCCTTAAAGAATATAAATCGACAGAGAAAAGGCGCAACATTAGTAAGTAAGGCCTTCCTATGGCAAAAAGTAAGCAACCAAAGAAAATGCAAAATGAAGTAAAAATTAAGAAGGTTTGAGTCCAGGTGAGATTTGAGCTACACAAGATTCGAAAAAGGCCGAGTAAAATGCCACCGCCAAATATGGCAGCCGAAAAAAGCTCTCTGATTAAAAACACCTCATTGCCATATCCCTGCCACTTTTCAGGGAAATAGAATTTCACGGCCGCCCACGCTTCCGGATTTGGAACTCGTTGGCCACGAACCACTGTATTTTCGACGCGAGAGTCCATGAGCCGATCGAGGGAGGCGACAAACTGTGGGTAGGGTATGGCATCATCTTGGACTAAGATGGAGTATTTGGCACCGAAGGTCTCGATCTGACTCATGCAGAACAGATAGTCAAGCTTCTCCTGTTCTCGAGTATCAGCAGATGTGTGGTCAGATTTGGTCTTGCTCACGACGTGCACGTATTTTGTGAGCCGCCATGCTTCCGTGTGTTGGCGTGGCATGTTCTCCGCGTTGCATACGAAGAACACAACGTCGTGGCGATCCGCCGCTTTCAGCAGTCTGTCGAACTCGGCGACGACCCGAGTCAGGTATCTTGGATTGTACTTGCTGTATTTGGCCGACTGTCGCTTCACTGTGACGATCCCAATGGCATACGTAGGAGGGGTCTGCCGCTCCAGGGCGCTGGTGTGGAACGCTAACGACGACTTTGGGTCCAGTCCCTCAAAATATTCATCTGCTCGTTGACCTTGGGCGACGTCATCTGCTATGGCGCCCTCAATGCTGCGACTGGTCTTCAGGTAGTATCGGGAGAAGGGCCGATTCCAACAGAAGATTGGAAGGATTACAAAGAATGTACAAACGTACAACAGCACTATCAGGCACAACACAGATCGAAACTGCAGCCTCTTTGCCATGACTTCTTCGCAAATGTTCATGAAGGGGGATAATGTTTTCAAACGCAGCCAGTAGGCGTGAGTTTATCTGCCAAAGATCTTACTGGTTTATCGCCGGGCAAACGACGTTAGAACGAGGCACTGCGGTCGGGTGTCCACCACGAAATCCAGAAAAAGCAACAGAAACAAGTCAGCTAGTCTACCAAAACAAATGCATTAGTGTTCCGTATCCCTTTCCAGTTACGAGATCCTTCTAATCTGTCGATGAAACGCTGGTCGAGGCGAAAAGCAGGCCACAAAATGCGCAATAATTCCAAAGTATTCATCGGAACTTCACTCCCAAAAGACAACACCTTTTACCGGCTGAATAGTAGTGGGCATGGCATATTGCACTCTGCAGCATTAGTTGAAATGGCCACAATCTTATCTGTCGAAAAAAAGGAAACACCACGCCTTTACATAAGTGACCACTTTCACAGTTCTTTAGTCGACCATACAGCACGTTCGTGGGTCTGAGAATTAATGGAGTACACAGGCCGAATGATATCACGTACAAACCGTAAAGTCGACATTAAAGTTGACACCAGGGTTTCATCTTTATGACGACGGTATCTACCCGTCCTTTCTCGTGTAATTTAAAAACTGCCTGCAATCCACTCCCAGCAAACGTTTTGAAACTAGAAAGTGTACCCCTCGGTACAATCTCAGACCCTACTTCTTCGTATCGACTTTGGGCAGACTGTTAAAGATTTCTTCATCTGTGTTAAGGATCTCTAAAATTGAAGGTTGTAACTTCTGTAAAAGCAAACACTGCCTGTCCTGGATAATTTTTACCCGTCACGGGGCAGGCGTTAATACAATGTATGAGAAACTGGGCGAAATAACATCTACGTGTAGTTCTGTGACTTCTGTAGACAAAAGGGAACTGAAACGGATTGGGATGTTTATCCTTAACCCTCGAGTCCCCAAACAATTAAAACATGTAAAACAGTTACTGCAAAACTGTTAACTGACAAGACCTCAAACACTTTCAAAGCTTAAAGGTTGGAGATTATCCTCACTTAAGAAATCTTCCTCAAAGGATAAATGAGAAGTGGTTGCTGTGGGAAAAAACAAGTCTTATCCCTGCTTCTCATGAAATTTCAAACTCAAGTTCACATTGCTCATACTATGAATATGAGGTGCAATTTTTACTTCACAATTGACAAATGAGCACTGTCCTCGCTTATCGTTAACTTCTCCTGAATAAGACTACATGAACAATGTATAATGTAGAGAGTGCCAACAACATGGCAAAAACAGTCTGACGTTTACAGTGTGGTGAATCCTGTCCTGATTTCTACATGTATGTTGTGTCAATGATGTAGTTATTGTTCAACAGATCCACGGTGTTGTTCTGTGGGTGGTACTGGAGGAGTGTCCAGTGAATGTATCTGATTCCAGGACATGGTTCTGGCAAACAACACATCTGTTAGAATCACACTTGAACGTGCCTTGCTGGGAAGGGGAAGGGGAACCAAAGGGGGCACCTCTGCCCAAATGATAATGTCCCGTAGGTTGCAGGGATGCCTGTAGGCCACAAGTGGGGTGTCTAGGATGGCACTAACTAGGCAGTCTGAAGTGTGGAGGATACGATGATTGTCGTTTATTACTTTGCGAAGGGGAGGAAGACGAGGATGGAAAGTGGTGACCAAGGGAACCCTGGGAAATGTTTCTTCAAGGGGGTCTTCTCCTTGATGAGTGCAAGACTTCTAGGGACTGAGTGAGCTCTATTGATTGAGCGTTGAACCTGGTGATAGCTGTGCCCCCTTGCAATCAAATGCCTCTTCAGTTCCTGTGTATGACGGGAGAAATCTGAATCATTAGAACAAATGCGTCTCAGCCTGAGTGCTCTGATGTATGCAGTACCAGTCTTACAGTGTCCAGGGTGGCAGCTGGATGAGTGAAGATACTGATGGGTATGTGTGGGCTTGGAACACAGGTCAGTAGTCACGAGGTTGTTTTCCTTCCGGATGCTGACGTCAAGAAAGTTGGCCTGATGGAGGGAATATTCCGAAGTGAACTTAATTGTTCTGTAGAAAGAATTGATATGGTTAATGAAGATGTCTAGACTGCCACTGTCAATGGTCCAGATGAAAAATACATCATCAATGTGTCTCCACCAGATCCAAGAGCGGCATGGTGCTGAAGTAAGCATGCGCTCTTCAAGGTTACCCATGAAGAGGCAAGCAAAGGAGGGAGCCATGAAGGTGCCCATAGCTTAGCATATGCCTGTAGATAGTGTTTGCCCATGAAGGAGAGACTGTTCTTGGTTAGTACAAGTCTCATAAGTGTAGCGACATCACTGATGGGGGGAGTTGTGTGTCCGCTCTTCATGAGTGCAGAGCAGCAGGCACGAATACCTTCTTCATGGGGAATGTTAGTAGAGAGAGAAGAGGATTTCTGTTGCTTAACACTGTGCAAGATTCTTTAAAAGGCCTTTAACTCAAAAGTGGCCCTGGTGACGTGACTCATTTCCACAGAGCGAGTCACAGATTACACAGTCGAAGGTGCAAAATGTGATATCACATACTGCTGCTCACAATTAACGATTGTTGACTGCTGTGATGTGGGAAATGAAGTTTTGAACCACCGAGGGATGTATAAGAGCAGCATGCACTCTCAATCACTATCTGCTGCATGATAGCTCGGCCGCATGCTCCTATCTTTTGTTTCTTTGTTTGCCTGACCCCATCAAAATGAAAGCTGAGCTATGATTTGTCATTGGAATGGAAGCAAATTGGGCCAATCACAGTGTGGCTTTCATCTATGGGTGACAGGAAAACAAGAAAGAAAAGAGAGGGTATGCCTTATGATTGGCCAAGCTGTCATGCAGCTGACAGTGATTGAGAGTACATGTACATGTATGCTGCTGATTTTCTGTAGTGTGGATAGACAAAATGCTCAAGAATTTCACCAATTGAATGAGGATATAAGGTGAATAAATCTCCTCATTTGACATCTAACTTCACCAAGAAGGCATGTATGAAATTTGGTAGCACAAAGAGCTGTGATGGAAGGGTAACTTGGCACAAACAAAACGGCCTAACGCAAGTTTGTACATACACCATAGCTATCTACATGTATGTTGTAAGTAGTTGGGGCCTACAGGTATGTATGTATGTATACGTATATTCCGCATAAGTGCCGTTGACTCTGGAAACTTTGAGGAAACAGCTATGCTACTAACTACAATTTCAAGCTTACAGCATGGCGGTTTCGTAACACAGCATGACTGCTCCATTCCACATTCGTGTTTGTGAAGGGCAGGCGAACCATGTTTTGTTTGCAGTGCACCATGAAACAGCCATCACGCAGTGAGATTGAATTGCGTATCAGGTCTCTTTGACCAACGAAAAAGATGGCACTTATTAGGTTGCTCATTTGCTTCATGACTGTGTTAGCTCATACCTTGACAGGATCAAAGGAAATGATATTGGCCAAATAATGTCTGACATGCCCGAAAAAGGGTGAACCACAAGTTCTGTTGCAAGCGTTAGATCGTGCTTTCCGGCTACACTCGTACTCGTAGCTTGAATACAACAAATCTTTTCATGCCAAGGAATGAGTGCCAATAAGTATGAGCATATTGCTCACAATCACGCAGACAACAAACAGCATGGTCACGATCGATCACATGCGTCCATGGGAGGAAGGACACCAGATTCACCTGTTCACAGCATAGTGCTCATCCTCCGTTGCATGAGCCGATCCACTACTTACTGTTAGACTACTGGCAGGTTGTTATATGCAGAGAATTACCCTTTCAACCACAGTTAACATACTGTACACGTTATGCCAACATAATGACCAAACACCCATGGTTTGGGTACTAAATAATACTGTACCGAGTAGGACCCCAGCTGTTGCTCACACACTGTGACACAGTCTACCTG